CTACTGTCATGTATAATTAATTAAGACAAATAAAAATTTTAAAAATACATACATTAAAAAAGAAAGACAATAAAGGAAAAATATGGATTTATTACTGTTTAACAACCATTTCCTGCACAAATACTAGGTACAGGGTATCTTTTCTACAGCCTAGTTATGCCAGGGCAATGGAATAGGTTTCAGATAGGCCAAAGAAACTGCTCCGAGAAAGCATGGAGATGCTTATTGGGGAAAACTTATAAGAGGTCAGTGGCTGCTCCGAGAAGAGTTCAGTGGTGACTGGCTGACAGTACTTCTGTCCCTTATGGTGCTTTGCTAAGCAGTGTCTCCTGTCTCTTATGGGGTTTTGTCCAGTGTTGGCCATCTGGGCACGTGACACATATCCTTTCCACAGTGTCCTCAGTTCTGCACTCATCACCACTCAGAAAGGAGTTTTATATGTTAGGCTGCAGAAGTAGTGACACCATCAGCATCAGCTTGTTTCATTAGCTTGTCTGACCCAGCATCCCAGAGATACTTCACAGAAGAAGAAATATAATTAATCAACAAATATATGAAAAAATGTTCAACACCTCTAGTAATTAGAGAAGTGCAAATCAAAACTACTCTAAGATTACTAAGAACTAAGAATGTTGCCCAGAACACATACAAGAAAGAAGAAGTTTTTTACAGACAACACTAGCTTGACCTAGTTCCCAGTGTGTATAAGAGAATACCATTTTCCTTTAAGATAATATATATATCAGATTTTTTTGGCCTAGGCTTGCTCTCATTGTTTGTGTGACTTGGCTAGGTTTTGGGGAACAGAAAGCAGGTATTCAGGGACATGATGTTTTACTGTTCCCCCTTTTCTTTAGTGATGATACACAGGGACTGAGCCAAATATTGCGGATATTACAATGGATAAGTCATGTTTCTCACTCTCTGAGAGCTTAGAGACTTGGGTGGCGTGGGGAATTTGTAAGCATGTCATCACCATGCCCACGATCCATGCAAAGCTAGAAACAAATATAAGGCACAGAAATGGTACTTACAGAAGTTCAGGTGATTAAAAGTGATGTTTGGCAGGGGTTTAAAAGATGAATATGAGTTTTAAAGACAGACGAGGACATTCAAGTCAGAAAAAGACACTCCAGGAAGAGGGAATAAGGAGTAAAGACAAGAATAAAATTGAATGAAGCATGAAAGTGATCACAAGAAATATCCAGATCCAACCAAGAAGGGTCATGGCATTCTGTGGAGTCTGAACGCCAGTTTGTGGGTCTGAAGTTCTCAGATGAGGTTTTGGAATTCATTGGTTTATTATAACCTACTAGTCTTTAGACCAATGGAGAGAAAAGCTTTGCCTTGCTGTAGGTGGAATAGGA